AAGTCTTTAAGAGTTTGGAAGCTCTTATCAGTCATATCTTTCTCTGGAAAAGAAAGCCAATTCAATGACAATAAAATACAATGGCAGACCAGCGCATCTGCATTTACTGTTTGGGTCAAGACATTACATATACAAATGTGACTGATTGCGGTGTTGGCAAGAGCACTGGCTGCTTTCCTGATATTCCCATAGTCCTGTCTATCATGATGGATACCTCTGTCTATAGCATTGATTCACCTTCCTTTCAAACATTTTTTAAATTAATGCAATGAGAATAAAATATGGAGTTCTCTACTATACAGATAATTTCTTGTATTTGCAAGTAATTTGTCTTAAAGATTTTATAGATTTTTTATAGCCAAAATATGTTTTCTTTTCAGAGAAAACAAAGTATTTAAAAGAACAATTTTTAAAGAAAACAATTTGATAGAAAATGAGATGATTTTGTTACCTAGGTAGAGATTTGAGGGCAATCAAATGAGCATTGATAGTTTGATATTTGAGGTGCCTTTATTTAAACCATGGATGTTTCTATGCTTAAAATTTTTGAACATTCCCACCTGGTGATGCACAGTGAAAGTTGCCCACCTCTCTAGGATGGGCTACAACCTAGAGACAAGTTTGAGGATATGCATCCTTAAATTCATAACCATTGACAAGGATATACATTCTACTACTTCTTCAGACAGGAGCAGTAGTGGAATTTACCATAAGTGACTTGGTAATAAAAAGATTCCTAAACTATTTCGGTGATGAAAAGAATTTGGTGTAAATCTGTGTGCAGTAATTCAAGAGATGCCTCCATGAGATGGATGCCATTTTTCTAGACAGTACATACTGTTCTAATTTCTTAGGTGGCATATCATATGGAAGCAACAACTATATATTGGGTAGGAAAAACAGTTCAGCAGGAAAAATTTTATTGTTCAAGCCTAAGTCTAAGAGTTTGATCCATAGATTCTCCCATACAGTTGGCATGAGAGAAGAAGAAGAAAAAAATCCACCAAACCATCCCCTTACCTCCATAGGCACACTGTAGCACACATAAAAGAACACACACACACACACACACACACACACACACACACACACACCATATAAAACAACAACAATAATAACAATAATAATAATAATAATAATAATAGCCAAATATTAAGCATTGTAATGATATAAACAAAGAAAATACAATAGGGATGATGTATTTTTAAAATACATAACGAGGCCTCTGGTTTGTTCAAAAAAGTGATTGTCATAGTTCTCTGTACTTCTAGTTTGTATACTAGTTGTTTTATTTTAGGCCATGGGAGGACTGGTTTCATCTAATTAAATTGTGATGGAATATCTTTGCATACTAGTTACCAAAGCAGTTGTAAAGATGAATGAACTTCCAAGTTGTACATCAATTGTTGTTATAACAAATTTTACTTTCCAGTGAAGAAAGTTATGAAAGTAAATAAATATCTGATGTTGAATCATCTGAGGACCTAACATGAAGAGTCCAGGGTTAAAAAAAAATAGGATGCTTCATTGCAGATCAAAGAAGACTTTGAACTCATGTCTAAGAAAACAATCTCTCCTTGGAAAATGTTGAATATCATATACAGAGCTGTAAAAAGCCTTTAGTGATTACTGGCTCAAGATAGATTGTGGTGAGGGAGGTGACTCCTAGCAGAGCTAGCAGCAAATCATAAAGCAAAGTCATGTCAAGTGAGGTCACACTTCAACATCAATTTGTATTACTCATATTCCCCATCTGTTGAATTTAACTGATATACAGAACTAACCTTATATTATTTTTGTCACTAGACAAGGAAGGAGTAACCCGAAAAGAGAAAATATGTACAGCCATAGACCTTAAACAGCAAGTTGGAAGAAGTACTTCTATTAACCACTATGATACACAGCCAAGAGAAGAATATAGAGCAAGGCAAGCTTTTAGATGGAAAAAAATTGTGTCCAAGGATTTTACAAATTCTCCACCCCTGGAGATTATAGCTCACAGTTGATGATAATTGAAAGCAGGCATGGTTTTGTTTAGATAAGACTCACTTATCCATTAGCACTCTGAAAACCTAAATGGACTAAATGGGAGTTAATTCTTCCTTGTCACTAAAGGAATGTGTGATTGTCTGGTTCCCAGGGACTGAACTGATTTACAAGATATTCCAAGAAGAGTTGTCTTACATGTTCTTGTTTCAATTTGGAAAGATTACTGAAGTCCCTAGGGGTTTAGGTAAGTCTTCATCTATTCAGATTAAATTTAAATGTAGCACATGGAGGAAAAGTGTACAAATCAGAGCAATGAGGGCTAACAGTGTGAACATTGCCACACTACTGCCACTCAAAATTGAAAGGAACCAGTGCCAATAACTGGTGGAATGCACGAGAAATAATAATAGACACATATGAAAATAAACTCAAAGCAATTTGACTAAAATCAGGAACAAGACAAGGCTGTCCACTCCATATCTATTCAATATAGTATTTGAAATTCTAGCTACAGTAATAAGACAACTGAAGGAGATCAAGGGGATACAGATTGGAAATGAAGAAGTCAAAATATCATTACTTGTAGATGATATGATAGTATACATAAAATACCCCAAAAATCCTGCCAGGGAACTACTACAGCCAGTAAATACCTTCAATGATGTGACTGGATACAAGATTTACTCAAAAAAACAAAAAAAAAGTAACCTTCCTGTATACAAAAGAGAAATGGACTGAAAATGAAATCAGGAAAACAACACCCCTCACAAAAGCCACAAACAATATAAAATATCTTGAGGTAACCCTAAACAAGCAAGTAAAAGACTTGTATAACAACAAATTCAAGTTTTTGAAGAAAGAAATTGAAGAAGATATCAGAATTTGGAAAGGTCTCCCATGCTCATGGATCTGTAAAATTGACATATTTAAAGTAGCCATTCTACCAATAACAGTGGGGGGATATTCGATCACACTATGAACCCCGAATTTGCATTTATATTAATTAAAAAAATTAACCTTGGGTCAGAGGATGAGTTTACCAATTGGCTGACAGAAAATAATCATAGAGCATCAGAGGGCATGTGGAAGATATAAAGAAATGCACCAGAAGTAGTAGGGAGGGGGTATGAGTGGCAAAGCTTTTTCTGTTTTGGTGGAGCAGAAGGTTGGGTTTTGTGAGACACCAGCATGGAGAGAAAGTTAACTATAATTGCCCCCCAGCCCCTCTGAACTAGCAGATTTTCACCTCAGTGTTTGAATCTTGAGTCTTATTTATAAATAGAACAATAGAGATTTAGTTAAAGCTATTTTTAGCGGCAGTGACAGAGCCAGCACTTGTGGGAGTAGAATTCTTGCCAGGTGGCAGCCTAATCAGCCAGGCCACTACTAGAGAAGCAGGCTGGTAACTGCAGAGTCACAGTTGCTGGCTTAAATAGTAGTAGAATAAGGCACAGCCACTCTGCTGAAGATCAAACAACAAAAAGCAATCTATAAATTCAATGAAATCCTCATCAAAATCCCGTCACAATTCTTCATATCACCATTCCTGATTGCAAGCTCTGCTACAGAGCTATAGTAATAAAATACACATGGTATTGGCATAAACACAGACACATTGATCAATGGAATTGAATTAAAGATCCAGACATAAATCCACACACCTATGGACATGTGATTTTGATTAAAGAGGCCAGAAACACACAAGGAAAAAAAAAAGGAAGTATCTTCAGCATATGGTGCTGATCTAACTGGAGGTCTGCATATAGAAGAATACAAATAGATCCATATCTATCACCCTGCACAAAACTCAAGTCCAAGTGGACCAAAGACCTCAACATAAAACCAGGCACACCAAACCTGATGGAAGAGAAAGTAGGGAATAGCCATGAATATGCTAGCACTGGAAACAATATCTTAAATATAACATGGATAGTCTAGGCACTATGATCAACAATTAGTAGATGGACCTCATGAAGCAGATAAGCTTCTGTAAGGCAAAGGAAATAGTCATAAAAAAATGTAGCCAACAGAATGGGAAAAGATTTTCATCAGCTCCATTTCCACTTCCACTAGACGGCTATACCTATCAGTTATCTAGCTATATATCTATAGAGATTTAGAGATTGAGAGAGAGAGAGAGAGAGAGAGAGAGAGAGAGAGAGAGAGAGAGAGAGAGAGAGAGAGAGAGAGAGTCAGAGACAGAGACAGAGACAGAAACAGAAACAGAAACAGAAACAGAGAGAAACAGAAAGGCAACAATATTGCCTTATCATTGAGATATTCAGGTTGTAGTCATCTCACTAACAGATTTTCTATTTTCTGAAGGTTATCCATTACTGGTTTACCCAAAAGATGAACAAGCTCCCTAAAATTTGAAAGTCTGGATTCTTCTCTATAGAATATAAAAAAGTATATTCTCTTAACTGTTTTTATTTCATTTTCGACATTATAATATCTCCAATGACCAAAAAGAACAACTAATTTAGGAATCAATGATAGAACATGCCATCAACATTCAATGCATATTTAAAGAAAAATCCTATGCTATATGTTAAGAGGTGATAACTATTTAATAGAAAGAAGACAGATGAACAAAAAATGAGTTACTGGATAATATATCTCATGATTCTGAATTCAGGTAACATTCTAATCAAAAGTTTCACTTGAATCACAGTGAAAAATTTCCAAATTATCTGCCATCCATCTTCCTAGCCAAGCCACTTACATAGCTTAGTAGGTACATGGTAGATTTTCACCACCTTATATCCAGAGGCATGTACAATCCAAAATTATCCTTAGAAAGGATAGATAAATGGCTTACTGGTTAAGAGCATGCACTGTTCTCACAGAGGACCACCTTCAATTCCTAGGTCTCACATTAAGTGACTGACAATTACCTGTAAGTCCAGCTCTGGGCATATTCAACACCTCTGACTTCTGCAATTGCCTGCACTCAGATTAACATACCCAAATACACAGTTATACATAATAAGAAATAATAAAATACTTACAGTTACTTTCAAGAAATCATAATAGCTGAAAGGATGTAAGCCTAGATGATACAGGGGAAAGAAATAGTTCAGAATTTAGAACTTTGATGAGGCCATCTGGCAGAACATAGAGATCATACCTCAATTGTTACAGAAGATATAGTTTCCTCTAGCTATCATCCCTGTGTCTCTCTGTCAAAAGAAGGGAAGCAGAGTGTGTTTTGTCTCAAAGACATCTTACAACATAAATAAACTTAAGGATATCTGACTTTACAGTCAGTAACCATATTCTTCACGTGCAGTCAAACATTGCCCATCTTACGCCACTTTTCCAGATGCTAAAGTTGCCCCACTCATATAAAGAGAAAATGACCTTATGTTTATCAATTATCTTTTACTAACTATGATTAGTTTGTTTTGTTTTGTTTCTTCTTATAAACTTGACATAAGCTAAGTTCATCTGGGAAGAGGGAACCTCCATTGAAAACATGCCTCCATCAGATTGACCTGAAGTCAAGTCTGTACTTCACGGATGATTGATGTATAAGGATCCAGCCCACTGTAGGAAATGACACCTCTGAGGAGGTGAACAGGGGAGATATGAGGATGGTAGTTCAGTGAGCCATGGAGAACATGAATGTCAGCAGTACTCCTCCATGGCTTCTGCTTCACTTCCTGCCTCCAGTTTCCTGCTTTGTTTGAGTTCCTGCTCTACTCCTCTTTTTTTTATGATATATATTTTTTATAATTGGATTTAATATTATATATCAGCCATGGATTACCCTGTCCTCCCTCCTCCTGCTCCCCCCGCCCTTCCCCCCAACCTACCCATCATTCCCATATCCTCCAGGGCAAGGACTCCCCTGGGAATTCAGCTCAACCTGGTAGATTCAGTCCAGGCAGGTCCAATCCCCTCCTCCCAGGCTGAGCCAAGTGTCCCTGCATAGGCCCGAGGTTCCAAACAGACAGCTCATGCACTAAGGACAGGTCCCAGTCCCACTGCCTGGCTGCCTCCCAAACAGTTCAAGCTGATCAACTATCTCACTTATCCAGATTGCCTGATTTGGTTCATAGTTCATGTGTTTCTACTAATTTGGCTATTTGTCCCTGTGCTTTTTCCAATCTTGGTCTCAACAATTCTCACTTTTACAATCCCTCCTCTTTCTTGCCACCTGGACTCCTGGAGCTCCACCTGGGGCCTGGCCGTGGATCTCTGTATCTGCTTCCATCAGTCATTGGATGAGAGTTCTACCACGACAGTTAGGGTGTTTGGCCATCCTATCACCAGAGTAGGTCAGTTCGAGCTGTCTCTCGACCATTGCCAATAGTCTACAGTGGAGATATCTTTGTGGATTTCTGGGGACCTCTCTAGCACTTTGCTTTTTCCTATTCCCATGGGGTCTTCATTTATCATGGTCTCTTATTCCTTGTTCTCTCACCCTGTTCCTAATCCAGCTGGGACCTCCCACTCCCCTAAGCTCTCTTTCCCTCAACCCTTGCCCTTCATTCCCCCCCGCCCCACGTCCAGTTTGCTCATGTAGATCTCATCCATTTCTCTGTCATTGGGTGATCCCTGTGTCTTTCTTAGGATCCTGCTTTCTAGGTAGATGTAAAACAAGGGATGACTAGACTCCTATTCACAACTCCAGGGAGGCTACCTAGAAAACAGGGCTCTACTCCTCTTTGAACTATAATTATGAACTGAAATAAACCCTTTCCTGTACAAGTTATTTTGGGCCACGCTATTTTATCATAGTAATTAAAAGTTACGGGACATTAATTATTAATATAGATTATAGAATACACTGAAGATAAATTGGGCCAAGTTAGCGGATGTATTTAAGCTTGGTTGTGCAAAGCATCACCTTATAACTTTTAATTTTGGAGTAAATTATATCAAATCCTGTAAAATTCACACAGAAATGACTTTCATCTGAATAACAGAATTCTGAACTTCATGTAAACACTCATAACACCAAGTATGCTGTTTGCTGGTTGCAAGTCCATTGCTCATTTTGCTCATGAAAGTATAAATTATGGGGACATATTAAGGTGCTTTACTTCCTAACAGTATTATTGATGGGTTTGGGTGATTCCCAAATGTTATGTGTTTATATCATTTAACTTCTCTTCATTTTTTTTATATGAATATTACAAACAACCTAAGTTCTTGAAGGGGATCAGTGGGTTAATTTGTAAAAAGTAATCATTTTCAATTTACCCATCTATTTAAACAAAATGAAAATAATATGCAGTGATAGAAAATATCTGACATGTTTTCATGTACTCATTTTATAACTGAAATTATTACCTGATCGCCTCAGGGGGAAAAGAGACTTTCTTTCTCTGGAAAACAGACAGGCAAATGTACTATCTAGCAACTCCAAAAGAATACTGAACATGAATTCAGTGTCTTTTTGGTTTTTTAATAATTTATTATGATTACGAATGCAAGTCACAGACACACAAACACTAAAAAAGACACAAAATTGTGTATGTAGAGAAGGATAGATTGATCCAAGAGGCGTCGAAGAAGGGAGTGAATATGATCTAAATAGTATTGTACAAAATTCGTAAAGAACAAAAATAAAATTAGTTAAGAGGGAGTGGGGCGATGGCTCAGTGTGTAAAGAGCTTGCTGTATCAGCATGCTGATCCTACTTTGTATCTCAGACACTCATGTAAAAGCCCATAGTGGCTATACACACCATACCAGTAATCCCAGCAATGGGGCAGAAATAAGTGGATCCTGGGGCTTTCTGGCCAGCCAGTTTACTCCAAAAAGTGAGGTCCAGTTTCAGTGGCAGACCTGTTCTAAATAATAGCAAAAACAACAACAATAATAAGAACTAAATAATATGGGAATCAATAGAGTAAGACAGTCAGTATCAACCTCTGTGCCTCACATCTGCCTGGGGCAGAGATGATTGCCCCACACTTACACACACACACACACACACACACACACACACACACACGCACACTAGTATACACAGACACATACTCACAAAAGTCAGAAAAACATACTAAAATTAATTAAGCCGGATAATTTTTAAAAATTAATAGTAGCACCAGTATCATCTAAACAAAGTCCTGTTACTTTTATAAGCTTTTTAGAAATTTAAGCTAGCTTGTGTACAGCTCTTACCCCCATTGTGTTCTTCTCTAGATAAAAAAGGAAACACGATAATATTTGGCTAGTTTTAAAGCATCATAGAGCAAGTCAAAGACAATGAGGTCACAATCCATTTTTAAAACATTTACTAACCTTTTAAGGTCAGCAACAGGCCCTGAATATTAAGAAGGTTGTTACTACATTTTAAAATTGTCTTGATATGTTTGAAGTGAAATGATTTAACCTCTAGTAATGAAATTATGTTAATAATGGGCACCTACTTTTTTATGTGGTTCCATTGTACATTTTCCTAGAAAAGACATCTATGCATATTCATAGGGGACTTTATATATATATATATATTTTTTTTGATGTGTGATTAATAGAACAAATGGATGTAAACCTCACATGTGGAGGGCCCATGGTACTTAATCTTTTAAATTTTCAGTCGTCTTTATTGATTTGTGGTGTGTGTGCACGGGCATGCATGCTACTACCATGTACATGTAGGTCAGTCACCAACTTGCTGGAATCTGTTTTCTCCTTCTACCTGTGAGTTGCACTGATCAATCAAGCTCAGGTCATCAGCCTTGGCTACAAGTAGATTTACCAGCTGAGTCATCCCACTGGCCTGGTATTTAATCTTTTTCTCTATTACATTATGAATGGAGTGAGAGTTGGGCTGTTTTTTATTTGTCAGTTTAACCTACTGAAGTCGTAAATTAGGACACTGTCTAGCATATGGTGCCAGCTTCAGTAAGTACTGGCTGACTGGCCCCAGTAAATGAATGAATGGCTATTTAAGTCATATGACATAAATTTTCTCAACAGAACAAGCTAATCCAAAAAATTATTCATCACACTGATAAATTTAACATTTAGACTCTTTCTAGATAAGTCCCTGAAACCCAAAAGTAGAACATAGTTGGATTAAGAAAGAAAAGCTATGTTTTGTCTTTCTTGGTAGTAAGATAAATGTTATTTCATCAACTAATGGCATTATCCTCCTTGTGCCTTGTTATTTAGTTCAACCCAGGCTGTACAGCCTTCAGCTACTCCCAAAAAGCAGAAGCATTGCAGGGAGACACTGCATGATCAGGACTCATCCACTAAGGCATTTACAGTGCTAGAATTTGGTCTTGCCTAATACCACCTGGGTATGTGAGGAAAGAGACAGTAAATACTCAACAACTGAACCTAGTCATCTGCCTATCTTTTTTTTCATTGCCTTCTTCATTTTGTTGCAATCTTACCCAAGATGGATTTTATAGCAATGTTTTGAAAATATTGCTCTGGTATCTCCTCATGGAATTTAAGAATATCCAATCTTATAATTGATCATCTGAAAGTATCTTGTTTTCTCTATTTTTGAATTTTATTTTTGACTGTTGATTTCAGCAGTGAGGTCAGTCTACATGTAGATATCTTTGTAACTAAGACTGTTGGATTTTTTAAAGCTTCCTGGATGTCTCAAGCAAGAATTTGGCATATTTACCTTCAACATTGGCTCTAAAATCTAGCTACCTCATACCCTCCTTGAAGGGTCTCTTGCCCTATTCAAGGTATCAACTGCAGCTTTGAAGAGACCTGTCTTGATTGTTGGGACTACCACACAGCTTTGGTTTCAGTCTTCAGTAGATACCCGAGTTATTCCACTGGTGTAGGTGATGGCTTCACCATCAATTTCCCAATACATCCTTACAAGTAGTATGTTCTGAAATTAAAAACATTTTTGAGATTACTTTATGTTTATGAGAGTTTTGTCTATATATGTGTCTGTGCATAATGTGCATGCAGTGTCTGTGAAGGACAGAAGATGAGGTTGATCACCTGGAGCTAGAGTTAAAGACAATGCTTAGTTGCTATGTGGGTTCTATGGACTGAACTCAAGACATTTAAAAAAGCAGTTCTTGCTCTTAACCACTGAGCCACCTCTCCAGCCCCACATTCTGTCATTTAGAGCACTTGGGTGTCCCATCAT